CACCCCGCACAACATGATCCACTCGACCACCATTATGGTTGCCGCCAAAGAAAAAACGAAGGTAAAAAAAGAACGGTAACCTGGTTGCCGAGTTCACGAAGTAAAATGACTTGTTTTACAACGTCGTTGCCAAGCGACGAAAACCCAATTCCGATGACAAACACCGATGGGGGGGCTTGTTTTACAACGTCGTTGCCAAGCGACGAAAACCCAACCCCGATGGTAAACACCGGGGGGGGATTTGGGGGGGGGAGGGGGCAAGAGTTGTAGCACGAAGCTTGTAATGACCGCAAGTACTGGTCACGGGGGTCAAACGCCCAAGCGACGTCTCCCTCTCTCTCTCCGCCTCACGGCATCCTTCGAGGAACGCATGCTCCGACGATGCCGCTGCAGACCCTATTTGCAGACGAAGGGAAGCAACGAACGGGCACGATTCATTCGGTACGACGACCTTCATTTTGCGTCTCCTCCCCCCCCCCTCTCCCAAACATTGCTTGGGCGTACAGTGTGCTTGACAACGAAAACTTGGCCTTCGTCGTTGGCTGTGCCGCCGTGCGCAGGGCTCTCGAGGACAGCCGAGCCACGACGGTCACGGAGGAGTGGACCCCGACAGCCACCACTGCGGCGGCTTCCGCCGCTAGCCCTGCTTCTTCTTCCGCCGCTTCGGCCTCTGCTTGTCCCGGCGGCGGCGGCGGCCGCGGCGGCGGCAACGGCGGCAGCGGTGGATTTTCTGCCGCTACTGCTGCCGCTACTGCTGCTGCTGCCTCCTCCTCCCCCTCCTCCTCCGCGACTGTGTTGGCACCGACGTCCTCCTCTTCTCCTTCTTTGCAAACCACGGCGGCGGCGGCGGCGGCGACGACGAGGGAAACGCCTTCGACGGTGTCGACGCCGTCGTCGTCGGTGTCGACCTCTTCCCCGGAGGAGGAGCGCCTGGGCCACCGAAGCAGGCGGCGGCGGCGGCGGCGAACGCCACTCGCGCGGCTCTTCCCGGCGGTGTCGGCCGCGAGCCCGCCGCGCTCGAGAGGCGGTGGCGGCGGCGGGGCGGCGGCCTCGAACGGCAACATCCACAGCAGCAGCGACGACGACGTCGGCGCTATGACGCCTCAGTCGTCGTCACCGGCCGCCGGGGACGGGGGATCTTCGTCGGCGTTTTCTAGCTCCCCCGCCTTGAGCACCACGCCGCCGCCGCCTCCGTCGCGGTCGAACCACCAGCACCACCACCACCACCACTACCAGCAGCATCGCCGGCGCGAGCGCAGCGGGGAGATGCCGCTTTCGTGGCCCTTGCCGTCTCCGTCTCCGTCTCTGTCTTCTGGTGCAGGCGGCGGCGGCGGCGGCGGCGGCGGCGGCGGCGCTCCGGCGGTAACCGCTCTCACCGCTTCCGTCATGACGGCGACGCGGCATTACTCCTACCGGCAACAGCAACGACAACGACGCAACCTGCTGGCCGAAAACACCGCCGATGGGGGGCGCGAGACGGCAGGACGCCGAAGAGCTTCCTCCTTCCGCGGCGGTGGTGAAGGAACTCCCGCCGCCGGAGGCGGCGGCGGCGGCGGCGGAGCAAGCTTTAGCGGGGTCGACGAAGACACCTCGGACGAAAATGCAGCCGAACCGGCACCGGTTGCTCCGCCTTCGCCGCCACCACTGCCTAGTCACGGCGGCGGCGGCGGGGAGGGCGGGGGGGCGGCGGCGGGTCCGGCGGCTAGTTTTTCCTTCCCGGGTTTTTTAACGCCGAGGCGTTCGTTGACCAGGAGGAGGACCCCGCTCTCCCCCGCTTTGTCGGCGAGCCCGCCGGCGGAAGCCCGAAGCTTGCGGTCTGCATCCGCGTCCTCGATCGCGGGTACGCCGAGGCGACTTTCGAGGGGCTTTCGTTCGGCTTCGGCGCGTGGGGATAGCCAGCTTCAGGTCAGTGTGTATGTGTGTGTATGTGCGTGTTGTGTGTTTTATCGCCATGAAACGGACGAAATGGCAATCTGCTTCCGACTGACTGTTGCTATTGCTGGTGCTGATGCTGCTGTTGTTATGGTTGTTGTTGTTGCTGTCGTTTATGCTGATGGTGGTGTTAACACGCGGGGGGTAGATGTTGTCCCCCCCCGTTTTTTTTTGCGTTTGTTCCTTGTACTGTTTTTCTTGCTTGTGACAACACAGCGACTCACCCCTATTCACCGATAAAAGAGTTCAAGAGAGATTAGCAATGAAGTTATTCACGGTGTTGCACGACGTACCTTTGTTTTTACCAGTCTCGTCTTGATTCTGTCGTTTCCTTTCGTCCAAATGGGCGCGAGTGCTTCGCCACGATGCACCACCCGCGCGATGTCTCTTCTCGGGCGGTTTCGATGTGACGTTGCAAATAGCTATTGCTCCGAGAGAACAAGTACTGTACCGCACCAGAATGCACGCACATGTATTACATGCACACAGTTGTCCCCCCTGTTTTTGGGAGGAGTAGTCGCATGTCTCGCATGATGTCGTATACACACAAAACCAAGACGGTCTTCTCAGTTTTCGCCCCAGCCCCCCCCCCCAACTTGTACGAGTTGCGTACGCTTGGAGGTGGTTGCCGTGCTTTATGACGGCCGGAGACATCTCGTGGCGCGTCCGTCTCCCAGTTCGATTCTTGGCATGCCTCGCCCTCGGACTACACTTTGTCCCTGTCCTGACACTGCAGCAGTATGGCCCGGACACGGATGATAAGCGGGCTCAGGGCTGAGCAACCGACAAGATCACATCCGCGCCGCCTTCTTGTGCTCCCGCCGTTTTTTTTTTACTCCTACATTTTTTTTTGGCGATTGCCGAAGGTGGTGATGTGCTCCAGCTGCGGCCGCGCGGGATTCATCCAGTCTTCGGAGGCGCTGGCCAGCCGATCTAGCTTCTTTTGCAGCTGCGGCAGCCCGGTCGTCCCCGCCTCGGCGTTGCAGCTCCTGACGGCGATGCCGGGGGGAATTTCGATGTCTTCGGTCTCTCAGCATACGGGGGCGTCTCCGCAGGTGGGTTCGTCTGCTCTTTGTTGGGGTGGAGCAGGCATGCTCGTGAAGAAATTAACATATAATCAAAGAGAGACTGACCACCCGTTCGAGATACGATCACGTTCTGGTTTGCCTCTGCGGTATAACCGTTGACCACGCGTCCTCGAGTATTGTTCCCACAGGACTGATGGCCAATCGTTCCTACACTTTGCCAGAGGTTTGGGAGATGTATCCGTTCTTGAACACGACGCGTCCCTCCTGTCGTCGTCGTATACCGGTAGCCTCTGGAGCAGGGTCATCCCGACAAGGTGTGGGGAAGGGTTGTACGTGTTGGTTCTGGCCCCGATGTTTTCTTGTCGTTTCCGGCAAACCCATGTTTCTACCAAGCAGAATGCAGCGGCGGAGCTCACCCCAGACCACATGCTTTTCGTATCTGATCACTGGATGCTCCTGTTGCGGTGCTTCTCCCCCCCCCCC